CATAAGCATGCGTTTTCCGACCCTAAGCATGAATATGTCGAGCTAAGTATGAGTCTACCGGGCTAGTCCCACGCGCACAGTCCCTAAAACATCTACAAACGCTGAAAATCATGCATTATAACAGGAAAATGAAGAAGATAAACCACTTACTTGAATCAAAAAGTAGGATTCGGCTACGGAGTAAAAGAAGCTGTGACAGAAGATCGCGGCTGGGAAAAATCTGGAAGAACAGCAGTAGAGAGAGCACAAAGAATAGAAACGTGTTATGGGGCCCAAGGTTCCTATTTATAGTGATGACGTGGAATACCAAACGTCACCTCGGGCAACCACGGAGTCTCTCTCCCCGACGTGCTGCTCCCAACGCAATGATAACCCTATCACCATAGGGTGGCGACACAGTTCCCGAAAGATACCTCGTGTGCTCGCATAACACGCGCCGGTGAGGCTCCTCCGGGCATCCACCTCGGAAGATGTCCCCGAGCACGACACAGAGAGGCCCTCGAGGGTCTGCACCTTTGTCCCGGGCGCGAGACCTCGATGTGGAAACGACCTGAGTTCAAGCCATGGCTCCTCACAAAGGAACCACGACTTGGGGGGCTCCTGTTCTGGACTGGGCCCGACAGGCCCAAAAGCATTGCTAAGGCCCAGTCCAAATAGACTTGCTGAGGACCACGCCGACCATAGGGTCACACTCGTGCCCGACGTGCTCCCTGAGGTCACGTGTTCGACCTCTACACCTCCAGCTCGACATCCTACTGTCCAGCTTGACATCACCTCGAGCACCCCAACTAGGGCAGACTCAGTCCACTGCACTCCCAACGAGGCCCCGAAAAGACCGCGTCTCCGTCCGCCCGCACTTCACGCAGAACATCCAGGAAGGGGACCACGTGCGGGTCCCCACTACGCACGTAGAACCTACAGTTCCTCCATTGGGCCAAACCTGCCCGGCCCAATGAAGGAACCTTGGCCCAGCGCTGGGGGCTATAAATACCCTCTGTTTCCAGAGGGTCAGGTATTCATCATTCTAACCATACACTTGCTATTATCTGCTCGTACTCCTACTTACTTCAACATCGGAGTGCCTTGCAGGTACCCCCCCCCCCCCCCCACTTCGTTCAAAAAGCTTTCTGCTCGGAGCCAGCCGTGACGGTCCATTTCTGATCAGGTCAGATCAATTTTAATACACTTTTTAATTAGAGGTGGGAAGTTGAGATTATGTCAGAAATCTATATAGTTATTGTGAAAAGTTTAGAGAATATGTATCTTTCTCAAATGCTTAGTAAGTTAATGATGATCGGGATTACAGGTGAGATACACAAAATTTACGTCGTCACAATATACTAATGTGGTCTTCGATACATTTTCAAAAGAATATTCCTAAGTCAACACTATTAATGACTCCATGATATTCGACTACAACACTTGAACGAGATGATCTAGGTTGTCATTTGGCATATCAAGATATAGGATTGTCCCTAAGATATCCACAATAGCCAAATGTGAATCTTCTAGTGTTTGGACTGTTTGATTGAATATGATAGTAGAATGATCTAGAGGGGAATTGAATAAACCTTCCCCTATTAAAAATCTTTTCAAAAAGTTTTTTAAAATCAGAGTTTGAAATGTATGGGAGCAAAAGTTTAAAAATTGTTTATAAATTGAATTACGCAATTGAATATGTGTGTCCAAATAAATACATGATAACTTGTTGATAATGAATTTATGAAACACAATATAATAATTAATGTAATTTGAATCATTCTATCAATTATATATTTCTAGAATTAATCATTAGAAATCATGTTTAACATATAAGATTTAATACAAACATAAGCTTAAACATTAAACTACCATAAACCATAAACTCTAACAACATACGATTATGGGAAGTGATTAAAATTTAATTACATGCGAAATTAAAAGAGAATGATAGAGAGAAAGTACACTGGTATTTATACTTATTCGGTGTGTCATCCTCGCTTGCACCTAGTCCATTCTTCAATGGTAAGTCATTGAAAGTTTGTCCGTTTTCCACTAATTCGAAATTCACAAGTGTCTTTTTATACGTACAAATTGAAAACTTAAAGCAATTGTTAAGCATCACATATTTAAATCTTGATTTTCCTTTTGTAAGGTGCAATTTTCTTAAGATTTTCACTCGACCTTGAATCAGGTCACCTTCTCACAACCAAAGCACTCTAAGATACAAGAAAAGTTTTTCTCCAAGTTTGAATTAAGATAGAAAGTTGTGTTTTTCAAAATTGTGAATGGGCGTGCAAAATTCTTTTTGCAAGTTATGAGAGAGAGAGAGAGAGAGAGAGAGAGAGAGAGAGAGAGAGAGAGAGAGAGAGAGAGAGAGTCCCATCAGACAAATACTTTTTATATCAGACTTAGAAGAAAGAATGACAAAGGGGGTCATGGAACTCTTTGAATTTGACTTCAACTACAAACTGCTAAAGGATATTAAAGCCTAAACTATGGTCATTTCACTGTGTTGATCATATTCGATGAACCACACACATCTTTGTAGCATCTTAGTCTCAACTACCTTCTTCAAAGCCTTCATTTTCTCCCTCACACATGATAGATCCTCGCCTTGTTTGTTGTAGGCATCCTTATTCTCTGTGTTCCTCGCCTTTAAATTCTTCATATATCAAAGATCCTCTTTATGCTCATTATTGTATTTCATCCTCAAAGATGGTAAAGAGGATCTCCACCCCTAAATCAGATATGACACAGGCGTGCATGAAGAAATACTCACCCTTTACACCTTGTTGACGCCTCATGCAAGTATTTCAGCCCTCCAAACAAGGCTTCATCAAGACATCACCATCACTTCCATTTGATAATATGTACATATCATTTTGAAACACGTTTACTCTTGATTCGTTACTAAACAAAGAGTTAGCATTCAACACTCTGTCACTAAAATATGTCAAGCTTTTGCCCAAAGTTACCATTAGTAGTTTCGTTTGTCCAAGAAAGAAGAGAACAAAACAATGTCACTATTGTTACTCTTGTCGCCAATAGAGTTATTATAATTATTGTCGTAACTCCCAAACATCTCCATTTCAACATATCGCCAATTCATTTTTTTGCATGCTCGCCTTGAACTCTCAACACATCGACGCCATAACCTGTACATCTCCTTGTGGGTGTTAGGTTCGACTACATTATCCCTCGCATTACAATCTCTAAGGAATTTCGTCCTATAAGTATGAAAGGAGTAATATATAAAAAAGAATAAGGAAATACTTGTAATAAGACTTAATTAGAGGGTGAAGAAATCTAAGTACGCGGGAAAGAAAAAATTAGCAAGAGGAACCAGTTTCTAAGTGAAACTGTTGCTAGACAAAAGAATGATAAAAATGGAATACAAACTTTCTAGTACTTATATAAACGAATATATCTCCTAGCCTTAATAGCCATCATTAGCATGATATAACATCAAGGGCTTTGCATACAAACATGCAAATCAATTGATGACCGATTAAATATTCTCAAGATATTTTAATCATTTCCATCATTAATGACACACTTAAAGGTTTCAACACCAATCAAATGAACTCAATCAAACTTAACCTTAATCTTATAAATAGTATCGTGTTTTATATGGGGTGAAGGACATTCCAACAACTAACAAGACTTTCATGGTCATAACTGAATAGTACATAGTCTCACTGACGGACTAAACACATCTCTTATATTAAACACAGGGATCATCTATTACGCTTTCTAATGGTTCAATGTCATATTGCATGTGGCTAATATTATAGACAAAAAAGACTAGTCTCTCTATAAGGAATGGACCAAAACTATAAATACTTAACTCGATAGTTAGGTCAAGGCATCACTTATTATAGGCAACATTATCTCTATTTTACCCAGCGCGAGTACATTGTTAAAATTCACTTTTTTTATTGAACTATAGAAGCTCACCAGGATCAGAATAGGTTTCAAGACTCAAAGAACATTTACAGAGATACCTACAGATTATCCATAAAAAAGATTCAATATATTTGTATTATATTATTCCCTCCATTCCAAAATAAGTATTATATTTAGTATAAAAAATTGTCTCAAAATCCTTGTCATTTTATATTACCAATACAATTTTATATTTAATCTTTCAATTGTACTCTATAATAAATACTCTTAATTTATTGTTTTTTCACTTAATGTTAATGTTAATTTGAATAGATCAATAATTAATCAAGATAATTTGATAAAGTCGTTATTTTCTCTCTTTCATTTATTAATATTTTTTAATTTATGTGAAATGGTCAAATACGTCAAATAATATGGGACGGAGAGAGTATAAATTATTTTTTAAAAATATTTAATAGTTTAATAGTGATTTACTTTTTAAAATTGATATACATGTAATTTTTATATTGAATTATAAAAATAGAAAATAAAAGCATATAATATGAAGTGGAGTGGGTATTAATCTATAAAACATATTTTTATCCACTATAAACTTTTTTTACAAGTATCAATTAAATATGAATTCAATTGTCATTATTAATGACCTTCAAATAGTCCAAAATAGTGCCTTATAAAGTGAATTGGAGTTTCACTTTAAAAGAACAACTAATTAAAGTTGATCTTTTAAATTAGTTCCTTTTCCTATGTTCCCCTTCCTTCAAATGCACCCACCTCCTTATAACTCTCAATCAAAGTGTTTGTTGTAACAGCTAGTGAATTTTATGAGGATAAGGGTATGCTTTGGAATTAAACAAGCAACACACTCCTTGTAATAACAAAACAAAACAAAAATCAAAGTTTCTTTGGCTGATATAACTACACATGGCTTCTAGAAAGATAAATATAGTTGGCAACAAACTAAAAGAGACCACACAAATATCAAACAGGCCCCACTTAAAATCCTACAATTGATTTTCTTGAGATAACAAGAAAAAGCAAAACAAATTTCAAGTAGAATTTTTGTGAGCATTACAAACTAGGCTATGTATTGTAGCAATTATTTTGGTTTATGAATGGCTCATTTATTTTCAAGAACCTCCAACACTTCTCATAAACTAGTTATATGTTCAAACATTAGGTATTATGATGTTAGAGCAACACCAAAAAGTGCATGTTATAGAGATAGAAGAAGAAAAACTTGGAATGGTTCAATGTTACAATGCTGCAGCAGCAGAAGAAGTAGAAGCAGTTCACAACAATCATATTGTGCTGATCAGAAAGTGAATTTGCAAACTGAGAATGATAGTGAAAATATGAAGCAAAAGTTTGAGATTTTGGCGTGTGAATATGGATGGAGGATAAGGAGATTAATTGTGATTGCTGATGAGATAAAAATGGCAGCTCAAGTTCAAGCTGAAGCTTTTCATGTTCCTATGGCTCTTTTCAATGACTTGTTCTTTCATTTCTTTAAGGTTCTTCTTCTCTCATTTTATTGATCCTCTTCATTTTTATTTAATTTGCTCATACTTTTTTTATTCTAAGGAGATTAGCAGAGTGGGATGTAAATTCATGTACTCACTGATGCAAGCATTTTGATGCATCGAATGTATGAATGCGTGCATCAGTTATTACAGTGAATCTATCTGAATTCCACTAAGTAAATAATTATTAGATTGAAACCAAGTTCTCAATATATCAAATATCTATGTAGTCTTTATGCATATATTTTGATACATAGAAGGTGTGAATGCGTGAATCGGTGAATTTGCATTCTACTAAGTGCTAAGAAGTGAATAATTACTAGATTGAAACCACTCGTTCTCAATATATCAAATATCTTTGTGGTCTTTAACGATATTAGAGTCGTAGTTATACGCCTTTAGCGTCATTTTTAATGTTTTATCGTGTCTTGACACAAATAGGCTGAAGTGCTATCGGGACTTCTTTACAAGCTTAAATACTCACCTCCCAATAGGTACATTTGTTCTTATATCTAAACAAGCTTATGTAGATTATCATTTATCAATATATGAAATTTGTGAACTAAAAGAGTTACATAATTTTTTTCAAAAAGACTCATGAATGATGAGCCTGAAACATGAAATGAGAATCTGATATTGTATAAAACACTAGCACCTAATGTATATGCATTATTATTTAGGTATGCTTGTTTGGTGGCTGAGAATGATGAAGATTCACCAAAAGAACTTGTTGGTGTCATAGATGTTACTGTAATGAGAGATCAAGATGTTCTTGAACATCTTCCGGATGAAGCACAAGAGTACCTTTATGTTTCAGGAATAGCCGTCTCCAATGCTTTCAGGTGATTAACGTGTTTGTATCAGTGTTTGTGTCTCATATTTGATATTCCTTGTTATGTTACAAAAATGAATGTTGATATTGATGTTAATTTGTGGCACAGGAGGATGAAAATAGGGACTGTAATGTTGAAAGCATGTGACATGCTTTCGAATTTGTGGGGTCTCGAGTTTCTTGTTCTTAGAGCTTATGAAGAAGATGTGGGTGCTCGAACATTGTACACAAATGCAGGTTACCAAGTTGTGTCTAAAGATCCACCATGGACAAGTAATTGGATTGGAAGGAAATGTCGAGTTCTTATGATCAAAAGAATTAGTTTATTGTCTTAGTAGATTGTTAGTTCAGAAAATTTAGATGATTCCAAACAAAATAACATAAAATGCAGATGTGTTCTATGTAAATAGCAATGTGGTAGCATATTTAGTTCATTATTTCTCAATGATTACATACAAAATGAGTTCTTTTTCCAATACTTTCTGTGGATTGCTCACCAAAGAAGATGACCATTTTATATTGAAGAAGTCATTTATTTCCAAATCAATCATCAAAGAAGAGAAGCATTCTAAACACACAAAACTTTTGTATGGAAAAGTGGAAAATATAAATACAACATCACCAAGAAAGTTGTGTCTATAGCTCCCGATAAAAAGTGCAATTAGATATTTTAAATAGTAATATAATTATGTTAGTTGTTATCTTTAAATTTTGTTGAATTTGAGCTTTAGTAGAGTTTGAGCCTTATAGTTAATTATTCATTGAGAGTTCTATATATGTAGTGTCTATGACACATTAGAGGATATCAAGAAATCAAATGAAAAATTATTTTATTCATTTTATTTTATTTAGTCAATTTAATGTTCTTCCTCTGTAGAAAATCCTAATTCTTAGCTTTGATAGGAAAACTTTCTATCTATCGGTGTTTTCACTAACTAAGATGTTCCAAGCCCTCACGTTTGACATTTACATAAAATGGCACCCATCGTTTCTTTGAAGTAAAGTTGTGGATCGGAGATATATGTACAACAAGTCATATCAGTAATGTGTAACTTCCAATTAAAGGAAGCAATCAACCTACGATATCATCTGGAGTTACATCAGAAGCAATAAGTCACATTACTGTTGTGTATAACAATTTCCATTGATGTAACTCCTCAGCAGATATCATCTTCTGCTCCGAATATAAGATCAGCTATGTGGATCAATCGACTTCATGAAGTCATATTACGCACTTATCCAAAACATAAAGTCATTTATTTCTAAATCACTCATCAAAGAAGATACCACTCTTATATCAAAGAAGATAACCACTCTTATATTAAAGAAGTCATTTATTTCCAAATCAATTATCAAAGAGAACCAATGTGTTTCACATACAAACCAGAAGAAAAAATCAATAGATATATGAACTTAAAATACTTCCAACATACAACGTATCCCACGTTATTCATTTCTATATAAACACAAATACACACACCTTTGTATAGAAAAGTAGAAACTATAAAAACAACATCCCCAAGTAAACTGTGCCTATAGTTCCACAATGATTTTTCCAGTAGCATGGCCATCAATGCTCTTAGCCCAAGCATCTTCAGCTTTGCTCAAAGGAAACTTGGAGTCAATAATTGTCTTCAGTTTTCCATCCTTCACTAACTGAGCTAGATGTTTCAAGCCATCGGCCTTGATAGATACAATAAACGGCACCAACCGCTTCTTCGAAAAAGTAAGTTTCTTCAGGGCAAAAGTAAACATTGATCTTGGACTAGGTGTTAAATCCACCACAACTCCATTTTTAGCCAAATTAGGATCAAAAGTTGACCATCGTATTCCTGTGGTGCAATTTATCACTACATCGTATTTCTTACCAGACGGACTCTTTAATGATACCCCCTCTGGAGTTTTGTAGTCAAGAACCTCGTCAGCACCTAAGCCCTTAACTAAGTCAATGTTGCGAGCGCCACAGGTGGCTGTCACATGGTTGTTTCCTAGTTTGGCAAGTTGAACAGCGTAAAGACCTACACCGCCTGAAGCAGCAGTTACCAAAACATTCTTGGGCTCGCTCCCATCAAGCTTAATCCCTCCAATTTCTGTGAGCGAGTCATGAGCTGTGAGACCAGCTACAGGTAAACCTGCAGCTTCAGCAGCTGAAACTTCAGATGGTCTGGCGGCTGTTAAGATCTCGCTGGCCACTGCAAACTCAGCTAGTCCACCTCCATACTGTCATTCAACATAACATTAATAATCATCATTGTAATTGGTTTATTAATATATATGAATATAAAATAGTTGGATTGGAGATAGGATCATAGTCTTAAAGTTGTGGATTGAGAAATATGTACAACAAGTAGGGAGCAGAAGAGCATATGAATAAAACTGTAACACAGCTATATAATTTCACACTAAATCATGTGGTATCTTCATATATTACACTTCGATTTCAGATTTAAAAAAATCAATAACACACCTTTATTAAAGAGAAGGTTATCCACTGTTTAAGCTCAAAATTTGAACTTTCACAGCCAAGAGGGGAAATGGAGCAATATTATTATGTAATTAGAGAAGGTGAGGTTTGAGGGAGAAAAGGTTGTAATCTTGTGACCAAATGTGTGGTCTAGCAGCACAAACGCAAACTAGGGGTTAAGGCTTCATAAATAATACCTGTCTAGTGTTTTCTCATATACTTCTCTCCCCTTTTCCATCTATTCCTTAAATTTTGGACAACTACAATGTGTAGGTGTCTCAACACCCAAAATCTATTATTTGTTGTAGGGATTGAAGCTGGCAACAGAGCTGCCTAACACCAGCCCCTGCACGGAGAGGAGTAGTTCCATACCCACTAGTCCATTAGGCGTGCACACCATAGAGGTTAGTGTCGCTGGTTGTGATTAGAGTGGTACTAGAGTAACACTCAAGACCGAAGAGGACGGAGGGTGGTTGCACGGCATGTAACACTCGAGGTCGAAGAGGACAAAGAGTGGTTGTCACATCGGAATGAGAGGTATCTTGAGACTGTGCAGGTATGGGACTGTGGTAGATATGGGAAATATTACACTAGGACACGTAAGAAGAAAGAGAAAAGAGGAGAATCACACACAATCTAATTTATGTTAGTGCTGCACATGGCTTAGATAGGTGGCAGTTTTTGAGTGGGGAAAGGACCTAGGATTGAGTGAATAAATGATTGGGATAGGATCTATTATTGTTATGCATGATATGAGGGGAGTTATTCCCATAGGAGAGATAAGGCCTCTCGAAGCACCTCTTTGATTTTCTACTTTCTGCTTCTGCATATTCCTGCACTTTCTGCATTTTTTGTATCACTAGATCCCATATGAACTCTAGTACTTTAATAAAAATCAGTCCTTTCTGATTGTTCCTGTGTACTTGTTTACTATTTTACCCTAATTACTAAATTGATCTTATCAAACTGCATGGTTGAAGGAAGGCTTATACAGATTAATTGGTACTACCTATACTAATAAGATGCATCTTCTTTTTTATAGTCCGTTCCATAAGAACTCCACAGTTAAGCGTACTTGACTTGGAGTAATTTTGGGATGGGTGACCTTCTGGGAAGTTTCCCGGAAAGTGTGTGAGTGAGTACAAATCATGCTGAAAAGACCCGTGTTGGTTTGTGGGGTTCAGTCGATAATCCTAAGGCAATCTGGAGCGTTACAAATGGTATCAGAGTCAGACCTCTCCCAGTACGATGTGGTTCGGGGACGAACCATGCGGAAGTTGGTGGACATGTAACACCCGAGGCCGAAGAGGGCGGAGGGTGGTTGCACGACATGTAACACTCGAGGCCAAAGAGAGCAAAGAGTGGTCGCCACATCGGAATGAGAGGTATCTTAAGGCTGTGCAGGTATGGGACTGCATGGTTGAAGAAAGGCTTATACGGGTTAATTGGTACTACCTATACCAACAAGATGCATCTTCGCTTGACTTGGAGCAATTTTGGGATGGATGACTTTCTAGGAAGTCTCCTGGAAAGTGTGTGAATGAGAACAAATCATGCTGAAAAGACCCGTGTTGATGTAATGATGTTGACGAATTTTGAGGATAGTAAGTGAACAGTGCATGCAACTCATTCCAAAGGCATTTTAGTAATCATATATATATGAGAGGGGTAATTGTTTGCGTTCTAAACTCATTTATGGAATTATAGAGGAACCCCTGTTTTGAGCTAGCAAAACAGAGCTCAACATAGCAACTGAAACAACTAATTGGAATGCTAAGGAGAAGGCTAGACAAAATGGGTACATGAGCAGTAGTGGGAAAACTGCATCTCAGCTGTGCAATTGTTGTATTATTGCAGAAATTTGGAGGAAGCTTGCTAGATAATGTTTTATGTAGAAAAAGTATTTTTCGTATATTTCAAAGTTGTAATTTACAATAAGAGTCAAAGTTGTAATTTACAATAGGAGAATAAATTAGCTTAAATAGAGATAAATCTAAAGCTAATGGGCTTACTTAATGGGCTTCATGCTAATAAAATCTATGTTGTATTTTCAACATTTTATCATTGTACTCACAATTTCAGTGTTAGAAGTTGCCAAAACAATTAATGGCATAAGTGGTATAATCAACAAACCACCGTGTCATCCTTATCCTTTCAATTTCTTTTAACTATAGTAAAATATTTCAAGGTTGGGTCACCTAATTTGGCTGAGCATAATATGTCTGCAGATGCTATTCTGAAGTGTCTATATGCCATTGAAAGGACATAGAATCCCATGTTCATGAAAATGAGCGTTAATGGTCAATTGAAGTATGGGCATGATGCAAATAGACTTAAATTCACGGCTCTTAGTATTCACGTGAAAAATATGGACAGGCATGGCTGTCATAGATCTGCTTTCAAGGTCTGCAAATTGTTACTCTCACTAGATTCTTAGGAAACCATGGGGACTCTTTTCTGCAGGGATTGTTTTGCTTTAATGACTAAGGAATATGCATGTCTGGAAAAGTTCTTTGAAAATCATAAAAGTGGTAACTCAATTGGGTTGTTCCCAAATGTCTCTTTCCTTGCTAGTTGTTGATTTCACCATTGGCGTGTTCCCTCCCTCTAAAGTTATTTGTAGTGATTCTACAAAGGCTTTGGCATCTGACCGGGTGAACAAAGCAATGATGTTTCATCCTTCAGTTAATACATGAGTTAGTGACAAAAGCACACTTGAAAGATTGCTTATGGACTGATTTTCTCAAGCATGCCATTATCCTTTCAGATCAAACAGGAATTCCATCTTAAGACCCCCTGATTCTCCTCAAACAGGCTGTGAATAGGATTATACAGGTCAACAACAAAGATAGACAATATTTAGTGCAGTGGAAAGGCTGGAGCCTGGTCTATACCATTTGGGAGGAAGAAATGCATTCACACAATCAATCTCTTTTTCTCAGTCTTGGGAACAACACAGTTTTTCTAGCGGCTGGTAGTGTTAGGAATTTTAACCCATTGTGAGCTTATGGTTTGTCCTCACATTTTAGATTCTTTTAAAATAAAGTTCTGCACTACTTTGATCCTCTTGCTAATGGAATTTTGAAGTCAAACAAAAGGCAGAGCCATGGTAAACAGCGAGACATGTTTTACCCGCCAATTTATTTGTAACCCAGGGGTTTTCTCCTTTGGGGGTAATTCAATTTGAGGCACTGTCGGACATTAAATGTGGACAACTCCCTCAGCCAGAATCTAAACAATGATTTTAGGGACGAACTTGATACTATTTTTCAATATCAATAAAATAAGGAACTAAGTTGACTCGAGTGCCCAATTTGAGGGACCATATTGGGTATTTACTCCTTTACCTATATATCTATCATTAAACAAAGTAACTTGTGCATGTGCACCATGTCGGAGTACATGTTTTTAAACTAGTAAGACTACAGAATAGAAAACCAATTCGTTCATGAAATTGTGTTGCAATTCACACTTGAAATAACATAGATGATAAGAAGAAATGAAAAACAGTAAACTAAGAGAATGAAAGAAAGAGATAAGTACTTGAGTTGATAGTTTAGCAAGAACTTTATCACCAGCTTTAAAATCCTTTACTTGTTGTCCAACCTCTACTACCTCTCCTGATACATCAGTGCCTGAACCAAAGTCCCAAGATCAATGAAATGTTTATTATATAGCAAAGTAAGTAGAGAATGAGTTTGTTTGTAAAAACAGTTTATTTAAGTGCGTGAGCACTTATATATAAGCTATTTCTACAATCAAAGAAAAAATATAATCAAATTATTTTGATATTGCAAGCTGTTTTCATAAACTATAGAGGAGACAAAGTGCTTATGCCAATAAAATAAACTCATTTCTATACTATTATTTTCATATAAGCTATAATTAGTTTTGATAAACTATTATGTAGACATGTTTTCATAAACTGAAAATCGCATTAGAGACACTGAAAATAGCTTTAGAGACATGTCATGTCATGAGTTAACACTCAGACAAGTGCTTATGCCCTCATCAATGAACCTAAATGCTAGGTTGTTAATCTCGGATAGAGATGTGTAGCACCGGACCCCCAAAATGCTATAGCAACATAGCAGATAGCGGGATGATCGCTATTGTGAGTTTTTAAAAACAAGGTAAATAATTAACATTAATACATAATGCCTTAAAAACAAAAGTTGCAACAACATACATAATGTCTTAAAAACAGAAGTTGCAACAACATGCATAAATTCCAATAGCACCACAATATAAGTTCCCATCAAAATCAAATTATAAATGTGCTTAAAATGACTAAACCAAATTCTAAACGTAAACAAACATAAACAAAATAGACGTGAATGGTCAATATTGTTACCCTATGTCAATATTGTCACCAATAGGTTTAGAAAAACATTTGTTGTTGGAAGTTTGAGTTAAACTTGCAGAAGATGATGTCATAGGATCTAATAGATGAGAAATTCAGCAAAACATGGGAGAAATAGATGTGAATGGATTAGAAAGTGAAGAAAAAGATGAATAGGTGAAGAGGAATGTGGAAGAATGGATGAGAAAGATGGATGTTTGCTGATTTGAGAAAAAGAATGGATGAGAAAGATGGATGCTTCCTAATTTGAGAAGAACATGGAAGAAGAAAATTTGCAAGAGAGAGAACAACAAATTTTTAGGTCAAAAAATCCACCGCTTGCTGATTTGAGTGAAGAGAGAACTGGAAATGACATAAAGCATCACTAGCAACTTTTATATTAGCCAGATGAAATAGAAAAAATACCAGCTGTTAAAAAAAACCAAACTTACAATATTGTCATCATCTTCACAATAGCGGCCTGTAAACCGCTACAGAACCGCTATTGCGCCGCTACGACTCCACAAATAGCAGTCGCTATTTCTGCTATCGCAGATAGCGGTTAGCAGCCCAAAAGCATGGCGCCGAGGTCCTTTACTCTGCTACGCTAAGCCACTATAGCACGCTATCGACAACCTAGCCTAAATGTTGGATGAGCTTATCTACTGCCATAAGTTGTGTGACACTGTTTAGGACGATCAAAACAACTTATGACATTTTTCATAAAAAATTTTAACTCATTTTTATAAATTCTTCAAGATAGATAATGGAAACAACTTATAACATATATAAAAAACAATTTAAATTTATTTTATCTTAGGTTATAAAATAGCCTTATGCGAACTTATTCATAAGCATTTATTTTGATAAGCAGATGTGCTATAAGCTGCAAATAAGTTGTTTATCCAAAGAGACACAAAATTGTTGTTATAAGCCAATTGAAACACATATTCAAGTAAAAAGGATATGGATTTGTGAGTCATACAAGGTATATGAGGGAATTTTCCCGGCATAAGCATTGCGCGAAGAGCACCCTTCTGAATCTTCCAATCAACAGGATTAATGCTAGTCGCTTCCAATTTGAGTAAAACTTCATCATCCTTTGGCGTGGGAACAGGAACTTCAACATGCTGCTCAAAATGAACAATTGAATTGAATCAGAATCTATAAAGCACGGACACCAAAAACATGCAGACACTGACACGGGTGTAGATGCTGCAGAGATCGGAATCAGTTACACATATGTAAATGAAATTAGATTAATCTGATTTAGAGATGAGAAATTGGTGATAACCTTCAATCCGGGTGCACCTCCGCCATAAGAATCATACTGAACCGCTTGCATAAGTTTTTCAGCCATGTGAAAATGATAATAGAAAAGAACAAATTTGGTTCATTAACAATGGTGTGTGATGAAGCCGAGATTCAATGTGAGCCATTCCTAAACGAGGATTTGACCAGGTAAATTCTGCACTTTTGGTGGAGAGATGAATCATAGAAGCAATATTGTGAGAATTTTGTGAATTCATTCGAACTTCAAGCTGCGCCACCACTTCAGCGGCTTTTCATCCGCCGTCTCCGCCGTAATAGCACGATTCAGATTTGGATGATATGGAATTTGTTGATTTATGGATTTAATCCCAAAATTAAAATATCAAAAACTTCGTAGAGCTTTGAAAAATTTATCTAAATTAAGAAGGGTTTAATTTGTATTGAATTAAAATTATTTTATATTGTTATCTAATAGAAAGTTAATAAATAACTTTGTTATTAAAAGAATTTTAAAATTAAAATATAATTTATTTTAATATAAAAGAGTTTTACAATATCATCTACATGGTATCAATTGTAGAGGATATATTATCATCATTAATTAACAATGTAAAATTATTTTTCATTTTTATATTATCCCTTTTCTCATTTAATATTAGTAAAAAGAATAAACATGATTTATTTTGATAAAATGCAACAAAAAAAATGTTTCTTTTTAAGTTTGAACCCAAGGAGATAAGTGCAATGACCATATTACTTAACCACCAAATCAACTTGTAAGAATATTTAAACACATTTACATTTAAAAATACATAAAAAATGTGTTAGAATATTTTAAAGTTTGTTTAAATATTTTTAAATAAATAATTTATTAAACATGAAATAATTATTAACATAAGAAAATGAACGATTCACTGTAAATTAATTTTACACATCAACTAATCAAGATCATATATAAGAACACATTATTTTTTTGTTTTAAAAAAATTTAATAACATGATAAACTATTGTTTACTATTAGATTGCTCCATTAAACCTATAAATTAATATTAATAAATATTAAATATAAAATAATTAAAATAAAATTGTAAATAAATGAGAGATAACTGAAATAATTAAATATTAAAAACTAGGTGTGTAATAAATATATTTTTGAGTATTGGCAATGGCATTGAGTCGCGCATTTGAGCGAAATGTCTTAGGTCTGAATTTTATTATTTTAAATCTTTAAGATCTCAAAGCAGAAGAAAATAAATCGTATGAAATTTAAAAAATAAATAAATAAATATAGTTAATTTAACAATCCACATCATTATAAAAATAGAAATTAAAAAAAATTGCATATAATTTATTTTGATGATTGAGTCTCACAAATGACCAAAATAAAAGAATCTTCAAATGTTAGAGAGGAAATCTAAATTTTTTATGAGTTTTTCAAAATTTATTAATATGAAATGGACAAAATACCCGTTAACTCTTTTATAAATTAATTTTAATCTTGCTCTTAATTAGTACAGTGGGTGACTCACTCACTTCGAAGTTATCTAAGGATGTGGCTACATCGCTACATGTTGAATTTGTGTCTTAGCTCGATGGACCTTACTTGAGATCTATTATGCTTCTCATGTAATTGTAAGTGAGTGGACTGAGTTAAATGATGATATATGGAATTGAGTTACAATACTCATGACAACCCATAATCTCTCAAGCATGAGGCATATAAGGGTCTAGTGGTTAAAGAGAAACATGACATACCACACCCCCAAGTCTGAGGCCTTCAAGGATGAAGTGGTTAATTAAGGAGTCATTGTTATGCATAGTTGTCCACTTTCAAGTATTAATGTTGAATTACTCTCAATCGTATAATTCAAGACTTTCCAATCTTTCAAATCTGACAATTTTCAATGAAGACCTTCGGTTATATTTATCAAGCAGTCATAATCAAATCAAATTCCTCAAGAAAAACCATTTGATCTGAACCTTGATTGAATGCATGCATGAAAAAAATACTTTGATCTTATGGCAAAGTCGTGATGGGTGTTTGGCTAAAAACCCACTAGATTATTTCTTTTTTTATAAATCTTAGATAGTTAATAAGTTTTGTCCACCAAATTAGGCTTGGTTTTAGTTTTCAAGTCTTCAACCAGTCTTCTTGTCTCACTCGATAGTAGATCTTTTTTGCACTACTTTTAACTCTTTTAACATTGTTAATTCTCTGTTTTTATGGTTGGTATTATGTTTGGTAAAACTAATATAGCAGCAATATGTTAAATATGATTTTCTAACTCGTAGGAGAAAGTAGGTTGAAGTTCTATTTTATGGAGAACATGTTGAGTTGAGATGATTTAACAACGGTAGAAACATGTCAGATAAGATGTCTTATGCAGGGTAATTCAACATCATGCCTGTACTGAACTGGACAGTTAGATCAGTTCAAGATTTGACATATGCAGAATATTCTAGAAATATCATGATATCCTATATGGCGTTGTGTTATAGGTCTGAAAGATTCAAGCTGAAATCAAGAGGAATATTCACTTTCTAATTATGGAGATAAATTAGGAAGAATATGATTGAAGACCTATTTTATAGCAGAAGATTATGCTGATTTGTAGTAGCTGATATGTTGCAATTTGAAGCCCAAATCCAGTTGAGAAAAAGCTTATAAATATAAGTGTTTGTAACCTAAAGAAGGTATCAGTCGTGAATAGAAAAGATGTAGTTATTAGGGATGAGTTTGTGCCACTCTTTAGGAGAGTTGGTTGTGTGTTCCACTCAACAGGTGAGTTGGAATATGTTCTTTGAGTTGTAAGGTTTTGTTCTCCTCGAAGTTGTGAAGTAAGAGTGAGTATTTTTCTTGGAGGAAGCTTTTGAGTAACTCCAAGTTGTGTTTTTGGTCAAGAGTCTTGGCTAGGTATTGTCATGAAAGTGTGTCTTCTGGTTGTTATGTCATAGAAGTGTGTCTTCCTGTTTTGTCTAATCGTTATTTGTGATTGATGAGGGCCTCATATATAGGTGATTCTTAGATATAAAGTTAGCACGGGTAGTGATTAAGTGAGAAGTTGTAAACGTGGGAGTTTAGCTTCAAATTGATACTATTATAATAGACTTTATCTCTGACTTGGTATGCCCCCAGAGTAGGAGAGTTGCTCCAAACTGAGTTAATAATTCATGTGTGTTGTTTATGTTTTTCAGTACTGTTGTTGATTGTTTATACCTTGCATGTGTGTTTTGATCAGATCAGATATCCCAACATGTCATAGGACATTTGAAGTCTGATATACCAAAATTTCAATTAGTATCAGAGAGCAGGCATCATGTTCTGTTCTGGGTGAGATCCTGGGATGATACTTTCTGGTTCATGGGCAAGGAAAAAGGTATTTACTGAAAAGTTGTTTGAACTTTAATAAGTTCATATTGTGGTTTGAACAGTCCCTAGAAGTCGAGGATGGACTGTTCATGATAGGGTGTGTTGGACCTGTCTGTTGTTATCAGGCTTGTAGCTTTGGTGATGAGATGTTGTATTTGGTTTGATTTATTTTCAAACCTATGTTATTTTGTTTGCACGTGGATTATGGTGGTTGTGTGCAAAGGTTGTATGTTTTTTCTGAAGGATGTTGAGGAGTTTTCTGACTTGTGTTCCGCTGTATATGTATCTGATGGAAAACTCCTGGTGGTTTTGTGAGTTTCTGGTGTCGAGGTTGTAGACATTTGTTTCTCTCTGAAGATGTATCCCATTGTGTGGTGATACCTAGAAGTAGCTTCAAGCAACTTTTAAAGTTGCCAAAGATACTTGAGGTTTCTTTCAAGTCAACTTATAAAGGTACAATCAAATGTGGTTGATGAAAAGAGTTCTGAAGGTGGCAAGAGCTCTTGTTTGTGGTAGCTTCCAAAGGGATCTTCCTAGTTTGTGACTAGATTAGGATTGTGGTCATGGCCCTATTGTTTGCTGATAATGGTATAGAAGATGGAAGCCTGTTGAAGTCCTTGAAGGTGATCAAGGTATATTCTGATTTTCTGGGAGAAGTAAGGACTTTAGAACCAATCTCAACAATGTGTTGATTGGATATAGGAAAAATGTTCTACCAGATGTTGGAACATCTCATCAGCAATTTGAGCAGAATCCTGTTGGATAAAGGAATGGCTTAGCATATGCTTAAGGTGCTAAACAAATGTGTATTGATCATGTATGTTTGGAATCTACACCTGGTATGGAAGAGGAGGCATCTGAGGTGTTATTTGAGTTGGTTAAGAGATGACCAACATATTGTCACTCATTAGATTAGTTTACTTCTGATCCAAGTGTGATGGAGTGTATAGGTTGTGCTTTATGTTCTTGTGTAGGTCAAGCTCAATTGGCAAGGACATTCTCTCTGACATCTGGAAGATCATTCTGATCAAAAGATTCAGATCTATGGAATCTTGTTTGTGGCTATGAAATAGATTCTATGTGAGGGGGGTAACTTGTGTGTACCAACCATAGGATGTACAACTATTGGAGGGGATAAATGCATAATTCCCTTAGGAGTTCTTAGCAGTTGATAAGGGGGAGTCCTTAATCTGAAGCTGGAAGAACTTGAAGAGATGTGAGATATAATATTGAGAATTTAATTTTCTCAATATGTCTGGCTAGTGTTTCTCATAAATAGGATAAAGGTTGTTTACTCAAACTTGATATCATCTGTCAAGTCTATGAGAACACGAAACTCTTGTTCTAATTTAGTGAATAAATCATCCAAAGTGTTATGTGCAGTAGAGGTGTATCAACTTGAGTGGGTGGTGGATGTCTGCATATTTGGTGTGCCATCTAAACTGTTTAGGATGAGCTCCTCCAATTTTTTAGGCCTGCGGGATTGGAATAAGCAGCCTGGTTGTGGTATGTTGATGCCTTGTTTATTGAAGTATGCTCCAGATATCTGTTAGAGGAAATATCCTCTTTAGGTGCAGAAGGATAACATATATGACCTCAAAGTCATAGAATGGGTCTGAACATTGTGATATGAAGAAGAAGCTTCTTGAGGTGTGGTGTATGCAGAGTACTGCATATGCTTGTGATCTAGTCTTGAGGGATGATCAACTGTTGATGGT